GAATCAATAAAAGGAGAGAGAGAGAGAGAGAGAGAGAGAGAGAGAGAGAGAGAGAATATGAATATAAAATAAGAAAAAACACCCTGGAAAGATAAATACCTAGAATGACTGTGAAGTTTGGCAAGCCAAGTAAACAGAGTTGTGCCTAGAGAACTGAGGAGGCGACATGCTAGGGGACTCCTGCTCTGCTATGATCCTACCAGCGAAAGGTTCCTGGAGAAACTGGGGAGTCACCTTCCCTTCCCTTTCTTTTCCTTTTCTTAAAAATTAACCAGTAAACCTCACTTGCTCCAAATAGTGCAAACTGTATTTCCAAAGTCCATCCCCCTTTTGTCCAGCCAGAGGCAATTACTAGAATCCTGGAAGAGTGGCTTCCAAATATAGGGAGGAATTAGATGAAAGTAATTTACAAAGAAGCTACTTCCTTCTCCAGTCATCAGTGTTAAAAATCTATTTTTAAAATACCATTTGCAGACATTCTCTTCTTGACATATACTCTCAGACCATATTTTCAAAGGGCCATGTTAGGAATATTTCTGAGGACTAGCCTCTCCGTCGACGCAAATAATTCCAATTAGACCAAATTAGACCTAATGAAAGAGGCCCATTAAATGGCACTGGGAAAGCATGGCGAGGAGAAGAGAGAGAAGGAGAGACCACGGGAAACCTGGAGATCACGTGTTCATTCTCTGGGCAGCAGCCTAAAGAGTCTGTGGGAGTGGCCCTGACCATCCCTGGGGAGGGGTCACGGCTTGGAGTTCTTTCTTGACCCTCCCTGGGGAGAGGTCACTGCTTGGTGGGCTTTCCCAGAGGTGGGGTCCAGACTAAGGAAATTCCCAGGGGAGGAGGCTTGAAATGGATGCCAGGGGCTGGGGTGAGGCTTCCACCCAAACATCCCAGACTTCTTGTATATAGGGGTGTCAGGGGGCTGGGGTCTTACTTTCAGCCAAACAGGCCACCCTTCTTCCTTCCTTTTGTTTTGCTTTTAAAATATCATCATGATACTGAGAAACATGTCACATAAATAAATAATGTAGATTTTTTAATGTAAATTCTAAGTGAGCTATGTGTAAGCGGGTTTGAACCTGTATAGTATCTACCTCTTAAGTATAGTCTGTATAGGACTGATTAGTACAAGACTCACCCAGGGATGCTTGTTTATGAACATTCCCATCACAAAGCCGCCTTTATCTGACATCATTTGAACCACATATCAAACCTCTGTAGCAGAATCAACCCATTGATAGGTAATGGATATTATTGAAGGGTCCAAGAATAAGAATATAAAAATGTAGATTCCAGAAGTAAGAATGTAGAAATAAATACAAAGTTGTAAGTCTAGGAGAATGCGAACAGACTGTCAGCAGCTTTCTTAGTAGCTTAAGGATTAACTGTTAACAGTGGGTTACTCCACTTTACAACCCCTAACTCTATTTACAAGGTGAAAGCATCTCTTTGAAAACTGAGAGCTAGTGTAGGATATGAGCTGAATCAACTTTTAGGATATATGACCTCTGGGTTACGCATTATCCCTGCTATGTGAAACTGACATTACCAAAGGGGAGAGCAGAGGGCTTCAGCAAACACTATCTGGAAGTACCAAGAAAGACAATGGATTAAGTACAAACACTAGTTTAACTGAAAAACTCTGTTAACAGAGATTGTAAAGTAAGACAGTCTGTATCTGAGTTTTACCTTGAGATTGTAAAAATTCCTTTGTTCAGACCTAATGCTTGGTGCCCCTACTGTAAAAAGGTGGGTTTAGAAACTGGCCTTTGCCATCTCTGGCTGTGGTTTCAGCTAGATGATAAGCTTTTTGTGACCAATGGAGATTTTTTATTATTTTTTCCTGGATTCTGGTTTCTAGAATAACGTTTACTTCTGGTTTATTAGACTTTGGTGGTCTGTACGACCCCCCTGGACCCAACAATTATCATAAACTTATTTGTTCCCAAAGTCAGTGAGGTGTGTGGCATTTGTGATAACATGAAATACCTGTGCTTGGATTTTTTTTTATCTTTTAAGTCAATTCCTGGCAGCCTATAGTTCAATTTATTCTGTAATACAACAAGCTAAAATTAGCATCTTCTTTTAAAGCAAGTGGAAATAATTCCCAGTGTAGACAGTAGAGTGTATGGAAACCACACTCACGTGAATAAAGAAAGGTGCTTCCCAATACCCCTGGGGTGTGTGCCTCAATGACTTCTCAGCAAAGTACAACAAAGCTGAGCATGTCTGAGAGAGATGGGCGGGGCCCAAAGACCCAAATCTGCTGATTCAGGAGCACCATTCCTCAGAGTCCAAGAGCATTTCAGGAGCTGTCTCTGTGACTATTTTATTTCTGACTCTGTTTGGATAGCTGTAGGCACTCAGGTGAGGTTGGACTGTTATTCACTTATTAGACTGAGTCAGGGTCTGGTCTCAACTGTAAAAGCAGAGCATTTTCTCAGTCTCTGCTCATTGTGGGTACAACAAGGATTTTGAGTTCAAATCCTCTACTGAAAACTGGAGATGAGACTTTTCCTCTTAACTGTTGAGCAGGGACCCGAATACAATAAAATGTGCATGCACACAGCGTCTATCTTCATTTGAGCTTTTTGCATTCCGACTACATCATCCCCAGGGACTGAGAATTCCTTGAGAGAAGAGACAGTTTTATTTATCTTTGTATTTCTTGCCATTCCTAGCCCGAAGCAGGTGCTTTGAAAGGTCTTGCCAAATTGAATTGGAAAAAGAGAGCAGAGGGCAGTGTAGAATTGAATCACACTCCAACACACCTGCTTCTGTGTCAGTAAGAAACAATTTTTAGTGTTATGATTAAGGGTTTATTTTCCCTGTGTAGGATTAGAAAATCAAATGTAAACTTCTTGATTGTTGCTTTAAGCCTGAAAATTGTTCTCTCAGAAGCAGCAGAAAGCCGATATCTGCACAAACACTTGCTGGACACGTGCACATTTCTTGTATGTTTAGCTACTTTCAATATTTACCTGTCAATATTATGGGATATTATTTTACCCAATTATTTCATTTCTAATATCTTATTCATTAAAATAGGCGCTCTTTCTCTCAGAATATTCACCAGGGTGGTATTTTCCTTATTTTTCGGGTGAAACCTGACATTCTGATGGGAAAGGAAGTCATGTCGTTCTTAGGGCACACGCTAGGAAGAGAGCGAGAATGTTTTCTGAATGTGAGTCTTGCTTTTTTGCTCCAAGACACTTCCAAACCCAGGCAAGCACAGTTACGCCTTTCATTATCATTCCCTTATTCTTAACATCAAAGCAGATTTTATTATGGATATTTTATTGTTATTCAAAGTCAGGTTGCTGTGAGAGTTCATGAACAGGTAGGGTATCACCTTGGAGGGGCTACAAAGAATTAAGATCGAGTCATCCACAGGTCTGAGACACTCTGAGTTGTGGGAAAATGTTTTGTAAAGAAACAAAGAGCTGGCGGTGGTGATGCATGCCTTCAATCCCAGCACTCAGAAGGCAGAGGCAGGTGGATCTCTGTGAGTTGGAGGTCAGTCTGGTCTACAGAGCAAGTTCCAGGACAGTCACCAAAGCTACACAGGGAGACCCTGTCTCGAATAAACCAAAAACCAAAGCCCCAAAACAAACAAGAAAGAAAGAAAGAAAAGAAATGAAAAGAAAAGCAAAGAAAGTACTCTATCTCTTTCCTGCCTGGCTCTTTCAGAGTTGTTTCCCTAAACTATGTAGAACAGGTGGATTTTTGAGAGTCTGCGCCTATCTTCACAGTATCTCTGTGATGGTGTGACAAATGCCAGGATGTAAACAGACAGCATGTGTGCAATGTCTTTCCTATTTAGAGTTTAGCTTTTGGATCACAAACGTTACAATCTCCAGGGCCTTGTCAGCAATTAAAATTACCAGATCCCACTAGGGGCTCATTGAATCAGAAACCACATTCGATTTAGCAAAATCTCTCATGATTCTTAAGGACATTAAAGTTTGATGTAATTAGATCAGAGCATCCTTTTCAGCAGTCTCACGCTGTTTTCCCTGAAATACTACTTCTGCCTTGCTTAAAAAATATATGTGCACACACACAACTGAAAATAATCTTTAATTACTCTAGTAATATTATTCTAATGTGTAATTATACCTTAGGACTTCTGTTGAGTTATCAATGGCCTTTGGGTTGACATTTGATTAGTTAAATCAGTTACTTCTAATTATAAATGTCTTTCATATATTTCCTTGAGGATAAGAACTGCATTTTATTAAATATTTGTGCTTAAACTGTTCCTCGTATGTAGCTGTTTGATAAACTGAAAGTTGAACCGTGACTAAAGGACTGAATGAACACATGGAAGAGAAGATATCTAGACTGTAAATTTCTTGAAGACCAGTTCAGTATCTTAGTCATCTTTGTTTTAAGAATGTTAAAAAAAAAGTACTAGTTATGTTTGTTGGTTAATTTCTATCTGTAATGAGACTAATCTTAGGATATGACTCTAGAGAATAAGAAACAGTGGAAAAGGAAACAAAAGTGCAATTTCATGCATTGTTTCTTACCTCACCCAACCATCAAAACATCCTGTCAACTGGTGTAAACTTGAATTCTGAAATTTAAGCACCTCGTTGAAGTGCGACAGCTAGTGTCAGAGCCCACAATTCTTGGGTGTGATCAGGAGCAATTGCATTCACCGGCATATTCTGAAGACTGGTGGAAGAGTTATGAACCTATATTATATAGAGTCCAACGAAATTTCAACACACACACACACACACACAGCGCGTTCCCGGGTATTTTTGTGTGCACTTGTAACTTTGTGGCTGCCTATGAACAAGCTTTTGTTCTGGGTTTTTGATCAGACTGAACAGGAACAATGAAATGAAATCCTTCTCCTGGCCCTGGACTCTTTTTGGTCCCGGAACTCAAGTGCTAGGCCTTTCAGATGCGGAGGGGACCAGAAAGGGACGGACACAAGGCCCAGCAGTTGCCTGGCAACGCCCGCTGGAGGAGTCCCAGTGTAAAAAAGGTCCGGGAGAAGTGTCAGCGGCCGGGAGTGGGACCCTGCAGCGCATTCTTTCCCTGCCAGCGGCTGTCCCCGCGGCTGGGCGGGCTAGGGCTGGGGAAATGTTGCAGGAGGAGTCGGACCTGTCTCTCGTCATCGCCCAGATAGTCCAGAAACTCAAGGGCTCCAATTTGTACGCTCAGCTGGAACGGCAGGCCTGGGTAAGCGGGGCTGATGGGAAGCTATGGAGACCGGCGGGCCGCAGGACGTCCTGTCTACCACACCGCCTTCACCCAAACCAGAGCTGACTGCTCTTCCCACCCCTTTTGATGTCTTAAACCCCTCCTTGAGCTCCTCACCTTGGTTTGCTCACACCCCTGAGTGGTGCGATTGGATTTTATTAAAGATGGGTGGGGCACATCACGCCTTTCTTCAGCCCAGGGAATGTAGTCATTTAAGGGACCTATTCTCTTAAGCTGTTGTACTCACTGAGTGGCATGCCTTCCTTCTCTTTTACTGTCTCGTGGGTGGATTTGGGCCCAATGTGCAATTTTTAAAATGTCACTTTGTTGCACTTTACTCTCCCTGCAGTGATTTACGATGCTCCCACCTAGCATTTATTCAAAACATTCAAACAGACTAGACACTGAGAGTACATTGAATGGCCCGGAGATCTTTACTATATGAGAATGTCACCTAAATGGAATCATACAGTGTGTAAACTTTTGTGGGTGCTTCTGTCAGCGTTAGGCTTTAGGGGTTCATCCATACTGTTGATATTTCAGTACTTCTGTTCCTTTTAATTGCTGAATAATATTTGGAAGCTCCAACATTAATTTCTCTATTTAGTACTTACCTGGTGGATATTTAGGTTGTTTAGAGGTTATGGGTAATGTCAATATATATCTTGTGTGACTATCTTTGATCCATGCACTGTTTAGTTTTTAAATTTTCGGAGACTTTTCTAATACCTTTCTTTTGTTGATTTCTAGTTTAACTCCAGGATGGAGAACATTTATATTACGTTACTTATTTAAATTTTGTGGAAAAGAAAGATTGTAAGATCCTTAAGAGATGGCTGATTCTAAGGAAAAGGGTTCTTCCAGACACAACAGGACTGATGCACATATGAACTCACAGAGACCGGTAACATGTACAATACTTGTACACAGTCAAGTCAGATGGAGTCGCTTCACTGAGAGGGGAAAGTGGATACATTTTCCCACCTCTAACCAAGGTGCTATCTGGGACTGGCAAGGAGAAAATCAGTTTTTACAGTAGATTGTCACTAGGTATATCAACCAAGCTCCAGAGCAGTCCCCAGGAGTAGTTAACTAGTACAAAATGAACTCAATGGATTTTTTTGGTAGACTCTCTGTTTCACTTTGACATTTTTGTCTTATTGATTTTTTGCTACTTTATTTTTATTTTTGTGGTCTTTTTGTTTTTGAGTGTGAGAGAAAGAACATAACATTGGGTGGGTAGTTAGGTAGGGTCTGAGGGGCAAGGGGGTGGGAAACATGATCAAAATATATGGTCTGAAATTTTTTAATTAAAATAGAAAAATGCGACAATTAAAAACAAAAGTGGGGAGAAATCAGTCTGTATGTTTAGTAGTTGATTGCCCTTGCCCCATGGGTCACCCTCCATTTCCCCCCTGCTCTGCCAAAGGCCAAATATTTTGAGACTGTTTGACCTTGGATGACCTTGCTTAGAATCTGGTTCATTTTGTTTTCTTAACAGTTTCAGATTTTCTTGTGGGGCGGGGTAGTCAGAGTGGATTCAAAAGTTATGATTTTATTCCAAATGACCTGTTATTGGTAACAATTGGATAATGAAATCATTCACTATTCCTGTGTTGGGGTCAAAACCGTGGTTGTAATCTAACTGTTATTTTCAAGAAATTCTAATAACTTTTAAAAGTCCCGGTTATGGTTTTTGCTACGGTAGAACACCTATAGTGCTGGGTTTGCCACCTCTACCCTTGTTCAGTCTGGAAACTACTTTCCATTTCTGCCTCTATTATTTTCAGTCAAATGAATTCCTATTTGGTCTGTAAAATTTGGTAAAATTTTGCACAAATCTCTTGCCATTTCTTATACCGTACAAAATTCTTTGTAGTCTGATACTTGATATATAAATTTATTGTATACTGTATTTTGTCACATTTATTTATTGATATGTCTCTCTTTGTCACAACCAAATTTTAAAGGCAAAATTGTTATGACTTTATAAACAATATATATTTTTCTCATTGTTGTCTGTGAGTGATGCTGTGTCTCAGTGGCTTTCTAAGACGGAGCTGGTACAATCTCAGATACGAGTGTTAAGGAGTTCAGCTATGTCATGAGAAAAATTGCTGGACCATTGTTTTTCTCATGTGCTTGTCAAGTCTTATATAAAGGTGTTCTAGCCTCATAGAATGAGTAAGAGAGTGTTACCACCTTTTTCCCTTGCTACATTCTGCAAGTGTTAAGAAATTTTATTTTATTTTTTAATCATGGGGGAGAGTTCTGCAATATATAGCCTGTGTTTAGGGTTTTCTGTTTGGGAAGTTAATCTTTTTAATCAACACACTTTGTTTTAGAATAGCTTCTGGTTTGTGTAAAAATTGAGTGGAAAGTAGAGAGTTCCCCATCACTTCTCTTACCTTCCAAGTGGCTCCCTTTATTGGATTATGTCTCACCGGTGAGTGGCGCATCTCTCACCGATAACTAAGACTGATTCCCTATTACTAGATTCTGTAGTTCACACAGGGACCCATTCTTCTTGCTGTACAGCTCCAGAGCTTTCAGAAATATGTAACATGTAAAAATCCATGTGCCTTACCATACTGTGCATTCCTCCCTTGTCCTGAGTGCCCAGACTCCATCTAGCACTACCGTTTTCTGTCTCTAAACTTTCCTTTTGAGAACATCATACCATCACACCTACACAGTGTGGTCTCTTTACTGGCGGCTCTTCCTTACCAATAATGCATCACTTCCTAGTGTCTCTTGTTTTGGCTGCTATGTATGAAGTTTCTATAAATAGTTCATAATTATGCTTCAGGTATAGACATCAATTTTCAAATTTTAACAATACCAAGAGCAGTGATTGGTGGGTTGTGCAATAAGATTATGGTTAATTTGCAAGAAAGTGACAACTGGTCTTCCCAGTGGATGAAAATTCCCATTGTCTCATGTTTTCTCCAGTCTTTTTTGTCTGTCATTTGTTATCTGGTATGCGGTGTGATAACTCATTGTGTTAGTTTTTGGGTTCCTAATGACATAACATTTTTTTGTGTGTGTGATTTTCTAGAGCAAATTGCTAGCTTTTGCATCGGGCCTGAACTGCTAGGGTCTGGGATTGATCCAGAGTCTTTGCTTGCATTCTGCTATGAGTTATTCCCTGAGTTTCTAATTTCTTGGTTTTTATCCTTCTGGTAGTGTTTATTTATCTTCAGTTTAAAGGATACTTCTTGTGCATGTGGCTTTCTAAGATGCAAATGGTTTTCTTGCAGTGTATTTGAGGTGTTACCCGTTGTCTTTTTCTTTTGTGGTTTCTGTTGAGAATTTGTCATCACTAAATCAAATATATGTTGCCTGCCCCTACCTGGGGACTTTTACCATTTTCTTTCTGTTTGGGGGATCTCAGCAGACTTGTTAAGATGTACATTGTTAAAGTATTATTGTTTTTATATTATTATTGATGATCATTTACTCTGTTTGGAGTGTGCTGGGTAGTCTTATGTTAGTTTGGCACAAGCTATAGTCATCTGAGAGGAGGGAGTGTTGGTTAAGAAAATGCCTCCATTAAGCAATTTTTTTTATGAATTAGTGATTGATGGGGAAGGGCCTTGGCCATTGCGGCTAGTGTTACATCTGTGCTGGTGGTCCTGGGTTCTGTGAGAAAGTAGGTTGAGCAAGCCATGGAGAGCCAGCCAGTAAGCAGCACTCCTCCATAGCCTCTGCATTAGTTCCCTGCCTCGAGGATACTGTTTGAGTTCCAGTCCTGAGTTTCTTCACTGATGAACAGCAATGTGGAAATGTAAGCCAAATAAGCTCTTTCCTTCTCAAGTTGATTTTGGTTATGGTGTGCATCACAGCAATGGTAACCCTAAGTAAGACAGGGTCTGGAGGTTGTTTAAGCCCAATACGAGTTTGGAAAATCATCTGGATGGCATCTTTTCAAACACATGTTTTACCCCCTGTTCCTTGGTTCTACAGTAGGCCTCGTGGCTCAGTGTGTCTCTAATACTTTTTTTGTAACTCTCCCCTTTCTTTACGATTTCCTTTGGACCTTCTAATTCATTCATCCTGTTTTGTGCTGTTTCTTTTCTCTGATAAATACCCTTAATGAGTTCTTGTGCATATATTATATTTTTCAGTTCTAAAATTTCCAGGCGATTCTCCTTTAAAGATTTATTTTTAATGTGTGTGTGTGTGTGTGTATGTGTGTGTGTGTGTGTGTGTGTGTGTGTGTTTGCCGTGTGTGTGTGTACAGGTAGAGGTCAGAATAAGAGATGAGGTCCCCTGAAGATGGAGTTAAATTAGGTATTGTGAGTCACTGGGTCTGGGTTTTGGGAACCAAACTTTTGGGAAGATCAGCGAGCGCTCTTAACTGCTGAGTCTTGTTGCCAGCTCTTTCAGGTGACTATTGTTTATAGAAGCAAGTTCTGAGTCTGTTTTCCTGGATTTTTATAATCATTTTCCTATGTATGTGTGATGCTAGGCACTGGGTCCTTCGTAACTGTAATGACCCCTCTCCATTAAAGCTGTTATTTAGATTACTCACGAAGGTTTTTGTAGCCTTTTTATTCCTCTTGCCTTTGTTTGTGTGGTGTCAGTCAGACAGCAGCATGCCTTTACTGAAAGCTTTGCATTCTGTACAAATTAAAATACAGCCTCCAAATGACAGCATCTTTGTCACCTTCCCACATGAGTCAGTCTTGGGACTAGTTACCCATTTTAATACCATTTGAGAATGTGTTGAGTCAAGGCTGAGTTTATTTAAGATCAACCTTCCCTTGGTTCTTTCCTGATTCTCCTAGGTTTTCAACAAAAGATCTGATGTATTCTGTGGGTCTAAAATTTTAATTTTTTACTTGTTAGACTGCCAATATACCTTCTTGGTGACTTTTTGTGTTTAGGTTTATAGCCATCCATACTACAGAGTCCCAGTTGTTGAGGATAAAACTGGCCTAGCATTTAGTACTCACAAAGTCTTACTTATTTCTTTG